TTTTCCAAGTTTCAATCAAAACCGTTTTGAACTGAAATCTTTTGAATTTTGCTTGAAGCCTTTGAGACCTTATTTGCCTACTGTTAATCTTTAATTTGACTAAGAAAATAATGGATCTAATTATATGGCCACAGCATACTCCATCCCCTTATTTATTTTGCAAGGAAGGAAGAAAAAAAAGTTGTGCAATTGAAGCACAGTTTTGGTACCATTGTCAGGGTTAGAAACTATCCCCTCCGGCAAAGGCTGATGGCGCGTTACCTAATGAAATAACCTGGTGAACTAGTCTCCGTCACAAGGTGCTATTTCTTCCAGAAAACAGAACAAACAACCAAAAAATATGTCTCAGTTTCCCTTTTCATAACATATGGGTATTACACTGCAAAGCAGAAAGGACCAGTGCAGAAGGAGTCCCAGATAATGTCTCTCTGATGCTTAGACCACGAGAGCTATAACAACATTAAAATAAGGCTTTGTTATTGCTGTTCGATAACGTGGTTGGTAACTTATTTCCCATGTGCTTTCTGAGTGTTTTCTGGGTGCAAGGACTGGGGAAGGCGTTTATTTAACCTGTCCTTGACTTACACTCATGAGAGGGAGACTTTACATTTCCCCAGGCATTTCACAAGTATGTTTAGATATAAAAAAAAAAGAGTTAGAGCCATCATTTCTTGTAAGAACAGCTGTGGCCAACTCTTTTTTTTGATGCCATAAAGCCGAGCAGGATCCGTGCTGGGTACCGGTGGGCAGAGCTCTGCTGACTGGAACGATCCTGAGCCCGTGGGCTGACTGCACTGTATTGGACACTTTCAACTTCTATACTTTCTAAAATAAGGCAGTAAAGCAATTAGAAATAGGTAACAGGAGGAGAGAGCGCTTCACGGAAGAAAGCAAAAGAAAATAGTGTGGTACAATTAATTGGCAGCAGCAAAAAATGAGCTGTAACAACTGAACTGTCACCGGGAGTGTGACTGCAGGCTCAGGCTGCAACGGCAGAGAGGGTCCTTTTGCCACCCAGTGCAATCTGGCCTGAAAATGCTCAGCTTTGGGACAGAAGGAAATAAAAACGTAATTTAGAGCTGGGGGGACACAAAGGTTCCTGTGAGTCCTTCACTGTGTGTGAGCCAGAGGATTTATCCAGCTGAAAACGTGCTCCCACATCAAAAGCCAAAGGGAATACCTGTAACCAGAAAGGCAGGTGCTTTTTTAGGGAAAAATCCAAGAATGTCCTAAGTGGAGGAATGGGTTAAAAATACAAGGGAGTCTGCTGTGCCAGAGAAAGAATGAGTGGGCTTAGAGATAGGAGAGATTGCACAGGGAAGGAGCTATCCCTTTCTTTAGTGTTATTCATTTTTAATTTGCATTGTTACAGTGTGTGGAACCACCAGGTGGAAATCGGGGCCTCATTGTGCTGGGAATTGTGCTCAAACATAATGATTAAATGTTGCCAGCTCTGCAGAGGTTGAACTATCATTCCTCATCTCTGCAGCATCACTAACCAGCATAATTATCACCAAGTAAGTTTTTCTGCAATTGCTCTTCTGGAATATCTGTGCCACTGGATTTCTTTCAGAGTAACCACAGCTGAGGGTATAAAAAAAGATATATTTGTGCCAGCTCCAACCTGGTAACCTTCACAGATAATAATAACTGATCAGAGGCAGAATCTGCTCACCACATTTGCATGCATGTTCAGAAATTATTTGCTTGTGTCTCAGTTTCCCTTTCTGTAAAATGGGAATGGCAACACTGCTCATGAGAGGGAGACAGCTCACGGCTCCCTCGCTTCATCTAACACCCACGATCAGTGCCAGAGTCCTCTGTTAGACCCTTAGAGCTCTATACTGACATCATCACACAAGGGCTCGTTAGTGCTGTTTGTAATGACTGGGCTCAGCTGGAGAATATATATTCTTTCTTGTATTTTTTCTAGCTGAAAGGGCTGGAGCCAATATTTGATTTGCTGAAGGTTCCTTTTCTATTAGTATTTTTCTATCAGTTAAATAACCATGTAAAACCCAAAACTCAATTAAACAAGGAGTTTAAAAAAAAAAACAAAACACAACACAAACAACCCAACCCTCAATTGCCACAGCATAAATAGGAAGCAACACAGTGCACTGTCATTGAAGGGGTCTTTGCACGGTAACCCACCAAACCCCTTTGGGTTTCTGTGACACTTTGGCTCACAGCTCAGAGGTCAGAGAGCAGCAGGATCCACGGGCTGCGTTTTTACAGCTTCCAATACAGTTCCTTTCTGGTCACGACAGATACCAAGAACAGGGAATTCTTCCCTGACCCTAGGAGCAAGATCAGGTCAAACCAAGAGTAGAGGAGGACAGTCCTGTTGGTCACACACACCTCCCCACTGAAGAACCTCCATGGAACAAGCTCAGCAGCAACACCAGGACACTGCAGGGGGCAAATCTTAAACCTGTCATTATTTTCATTTTTCAGTGCTTTAGATGTGGGTTTTAACTTTTGTGTACCGTCCTGCATTCAGTATTTTTGCATGAATTTTTCACAAAGTGGAAGGCACTGGGAGAAGGGGCTGCACTGAAGGGGCTGCAATAGAGCATCTACACCAACAGGGCTGAGCAGACCAGCCTTCCTCCTTCCTCTCCCACCCCTGGGCACCAACTCCAGCCCCTCTGGCAAACAGAAGGACAGAAACAATTGCCATGGATGTTTTCATACCCCAGAGGGGACCAGTGTGTGTTAAAAGCAGACACTTGCTGAGTTTGCCCCAGAATGCTCTGCATGGTACCCACCTGAAAACCAGAGGCCCTGAGGGTCCTGGCTCAGAGGAGGAGCTTCTTTTGGTGAAAGAATTAGAATTGCAATATCTTGTTCTGCTGTTTGCAGCAACGGTTGGTGAATGAAAAGAAAAGCAAAGGATCCCCAAAGAGTGTGCATTTTAAAAAGACAAGCAAGGAGATGAAAATAAACACCTCCCATGATTTTTAAAGCAGTCTTGGGACTTCTAGAGATCCCAGCTCAGAGGTTTGGAATAGCAGCTACAGGGGATCATTTACAAGTAGCATTTTTCCTAATTTCCTATTCTGCCTTGTAATACTTCCTAGGAAAGAATAGGGGCTTTGCATTACAAGCAGTTTGAAAGATTAAGCGGGCAGAAACAACCTCCTGCTCTACCTGCAGCCCCGTGCTGGTTCTTTTAAGTTACGACTGGAGATTGACCAGGTTTAAGTGGGTGTGAAAGGTTACCTGAACACTCTCCCTTCGCTGCCTCGGATCTTTGGGAAGAGAATTTTCCTCAGGCAGGTCTGTGTGAAATGGTCTTCCAGTCCCCTCTGCTGGTTGCAGCAGCAGAGCTGCACCGCGGCCAAGCTTCACCTCGCTGGAGGAGAGCACAGGCTGCATGGGGATGCCACCAGCTCCATGCCCTCACTACAGCACCACAACTCCTCCAGAGACCAGGGAGCTTTCTCTCATACTTAATATCAGCACCTGGCATCTCTCTTGCACGGGCCAGCAAGGCATCCCAAGCACAAATACAGGCTGAGTGGAGAATGGCTGGAGAGCAGCCCTGAGGAGGAGGACTTGAGGGTGTTGTTTGTAGCCCAGAAAGACAACTGCATCCTGGGCTGCATCCCCAGCAGGGCGAGGGAGGAGATTGTGCCCCTCTGCTCTGGGGACAGGAGAGACATGGACCTCTCGGACCATGGCCAGAGGAGGCCACAAAGATGATCTTAGCACCCCTCCTACAAAGACAGACTAAGAGTTGGGATTGTTCAGCCTGGAGAAGAGAAGGCTCCAGGGAGATGTTAGAGCCCCTTCCAGTCCCTAAAGGGGCTCCAGAAAAGCTGGGGAGGGACTCTTGATCAGGGTCTGGAGCCATAGGACGAGGGGAAACAGTTTTAAACTGAAAGAGGGGAGATTGAGATGAGATCTGAGGAAGAAATTCTTTGCTGTGAGGGTGGTGAGAGCCTGGCCCAGGTTGCCCAGAGAAGCTGTGGCTGCCCCATCTCTGGAGGGGTTCAAGGCCAGGTTGGAGGGGCCTTGGAGCAACCTGGTCTGGTGGGAGGTGTCCCTGGCCAGGGCAGGGAGTTTGGAACTTTAAGGTCCCTTCCAACCTAAGCCATTCTATGATTTTATGATCACGAGAAAGAGTGAAAAATTTAGCCAAAGGGATAATCTTAAAAAAACCTCATAACCCTTCCTGTGGAAGCTGAGGCATCCTTCTGAGAGCAAATAATCTCCTCCCGGGGAATGTATGGCTTGCAATGTTTGTTGAGCTGATGACCAAATGTCACCTGCAACTGTTTGTGGCGTGTGCCTCTGTGTCCCTACGAGCCCAGCATGGTGGGTCCATCCTGCAGGCTTCTGGTCCGTGCTCCCCACCACTCTCAGCACCATCAATCACAGGCAGAGCGATCCTGTAAGAGTCTTTACTGACTTCCCCATGGCAGTTGGGGTTCAGTTTGGAAGTGATCAAGGCAAAATTACCTTGGGGGGCTGCAAAACACCCTTCAGGGAGAGACTGTGCCAAAAGTCCGTGCTGATGCATCCCAGAGAACTTCACGGAGCCAGCAGCACGGGGCAGGGGCTGCTCGTAGCGAGGTGGGTACAGGCGGTGATTTCCAACCGCGCGTGCCGAGTAGTCCAAATCTTCTAGCAGAGAGGGGAGGCTTCGTTTTGGGAAGCAAAGAGCTGGTTTGAGAGGCTACCACCGAGAAGGTCCATTTTGACCGGCTACCACCGACAGCATGGGCAGCAGGAGGCAGAGCTGGCACAGGGCACTGGTCTCCATGGCCAGCAGCGCGCCAGCCGGCCTGTCTGAGGAGGAAACCCAAGTGACAACCCCGATAACAGCCCCTGCTCGTGGCTGGAGGCCCAGGGGCCCTGCAGGGGAAGGCAGAGGCTGAGGGAGCCTGCTCTCAGCCCATGGCCCCACGCTCCAGCCCCGTTTACAGGATGGCTTTGCATGCACAAACCCCCCCAGCACCCAAAAGCAGGGCATACCCCACGGCAAAGGGATGTAGTAGAAAAACTAAAGGTTTATTTTTTTTTTTTTTAATAAAATACATCCTTACAAAATAGCCATTTTTCTCCGTGCTGAGGGACCGGGCATGGTTCTTGCCAGCTCTGCTTCCCTCCTCCTCTCCTCAGTTTGGCACCGGGGAGAGCATCGCTGCCTCTCCTTCCCCGGGGGTTTGGGTGCAGGATGCTCCAGCACAGCCCCGACACACCAGGCAGGGTGTGATGGTGGGTCCTGCAGACCCCAGTGTGCCCCGCAGCAGGGTCCCTTAGTTTAACCCACCCACAGCATCGCAGCGTGTCCCACCAGAGGCAGGGGGTCGGGCCGGCCGGACCCTGCCCTGGCTGCTGGGTGCCATGTTCCCACAAGCCGGTGTTGGACACTGCTCCTGCTGGCCTTGGGGCTGGTACAGGCTGGTGACAGAGGGTGATGACGGTGTTTTAGGAGAGGAGGAGGAAGAGGAAGAGGGTGCAGGTTTGTCGGTCAGTGGGGATTCTGCCAAGAGAGAGAGCACAGTGACTTCTGGTGTCTTGCCACCCACTGCCCCTCTTCTAGGGGGCATGGAAGGTGTGACATCAATCCCACATCCTGCACCCAGAATCACAGAATCTTCTAGGGTGGAAGGGACCTTAACGATCATCTTGTCCAACCGTCAACCTAACTTTGACAAAAATAGACACCCGCACAACAAACAAAAAGCAACACCATCACTAAACCATATCTCCCAGCACTACATCAACCTGTCTTTTGAACACCTCCAGGGATGGTGCTTCAACCACCTCCCTGGGCAGCCCAGTCCAATGGCTGATAACCCTTTTGGTGAAAAAAATTTTTCCTAATTTTTCCTAATATCCAGCCTGAACCTCCCCTGGTGTAACTTGAGGCCATAAATGCTGAGCCCAGGTTAGACATTACAGCTCAAAGCTCAGACCTCCTCCAGGCCTCCCTGGAGCCCTGCTGCCTTCCTGGGGACCTCGGGAGAGCCCTGAGACCCAGAGCCCTCACTCCTGCCAGCCATATGCTAGCGGGGCTGGGGAAACACCACTCACCTCTCGCTGCGTGTTGTCCAGCTCCTTTTCCTTCTTATGCGACTTTGACTGGGGGTTAAACAAGAGAAAACAATGATTCTTTTACAGATCTGCCCCTTTCTAACGCCAGGGAAAAATATGGTTGAACAACAGCTTTAACCCTCAATGTATAAGCTTATTTTCAAATGAATTTGAAGGGAGCTGTTTTCACATCCTAGGAAAGGCCGCAAAGCATCCCATGGTCATGGAGATATTCTCAGAAAAGGGGACATTTTCCAGTTTGCTAAAGCACTGGTCTGCTTAAAGCAATGCAAATCTTACCAGATAGTGGAATATCTGGGGATAAAGGGAGGCAATAAAGCTATTAACAGTGAGTCACACAGAAGATCTCTGTTATTTAGGAGAGGAGATTCTTGGGTGCCAGTCTCTGACAGTCCCAAGGGCTCAGGATTTCCAGGACCTCAGGAAGGCGCCTGGTTGCTCCTCAATATAAATGTTGTTTGTGTTACAGCCTCATTACCCGTGCACACATACACACACACCCCCAGCAAGAGCCTCCGCAGGGGAGGGACGTGTTATTACTTACAGGCTCCTGTTCAGCATATTTGAATTTCTTTTGCTTGTAGTAGTCCCGTCCTTGGAGAAAATGCAGCAGGAGCAGGTCGCAGAGGACAGAAGCCTGAAGTCAAAATGCAGTTAGGGTCAGAGCTGCCCTCCCAGCTCCCCTCTGCCACCTTGTACTTCCAGCTTGCCCCACAAATTAGGGTCACTTTTGCTTCAACCCACAGCATGGCAGCTGCTAAAGAGCTTATAGCCCCCAAACATCCATTTTAGGACAGGAGTGAAGTGCTCTGGGTTCAACACTGGCCAATTTAAATCAACAGAAATTGTTTCCACTTTAGATATATGCAGAGCACAGCACCCTTTGGGTCACGCTGAGATCTTTAACAACCAAAACCAAATAGGATGCTGGTTTTCTGTCGTGCATGAAATACTGCCCAGCATCTCCAAAACCCCCTCAGTACCAGCTCTAACTTGAAACTATCAAGATACCAAGACCTGGCCCTGCCACGAAGGTCTGCCTTCCCCTCACTTGTCAGGGCAGCAGCTCTCACGAGCAGAATTCACATCAGCTGGTGGCCAGCAGGAATCTATTTTCCCAAGCCAGCGAGGCAGGAGAGCACTTTCTTTCCCCCTTCCCCCCCATCTCCTGTTGCCCGAGTGGGAACCAGTATTTCACTGCAGCTCAGAGACACTTCCCGACGGATGCCACGGGGAAGGAGACTAATTTGAGAGTCTCCATATAGAGGTTGGAAAAATCTGAACTTACCACTCCAAAAATACCGATTCCAGAGCCAATTGTGGTCATGGTTGGGATGATGTCAAATTTGCCTGCCTGAATAAAATTGGAGAAAATAGGTGATATGTTACAATCAACCCAGAGGAAAAAAAAAGGAGGGGTGCCAGGGTGCCATAGCTGTAGCTGGGGCCCACGTAAAGCGCTTTGCAGCAACCCAAACCACAACCACAGCACAGAGAGAAACAGGAGCTGAGTAAGAGCTGGTTTGAAGCTGATTGGTCAAACAGAAAAGCATGGTAGGGTGCTTTTAGGCTGACATAAATTAAAATCCCTTTGCTTCCTATATTTTTAATTTAAAAAAAAAAAAAGTTGAAAAAAAAAGTATACACTTTAAATATTCCCAGTGGGAACACAAGGAGCCTCCTCTCCCAGTGGGAAATAAAAAACAAAACAGAAAAATGCAAATGTTCGGCTTTTGGAAATATCAGTAAAAGGTTTTGACTTTCCACAGTTCACCCCACAACCCATCATTATGTTTTTGGGGACAAAACCACTGACCGAACTGCAGCTGATAGATGTGACCTGTAAAATGGGCTTCCCCTCTGTGTTCCCTTCCCCAGCACTTCCCAAGGGCCACTGTCAAAGGGGGGCAGCACCCAAGGAGAACCCTCACACTGGTTTTCCTGGCCCCACAAGACCTTCCTGAGGACATGGCACCACCACCCTGGGGATCCGGGGGGAAACCCAGCCTCTGGCCACCCTTACCTTGCCATTCACTAGAATGTCAAACCGGATCCCAAACACCTTGTAGAGCGTCCTCTTGTCCATCCCGTCTTCTTTGTAGTATTTGGCATATCTGTCCAATTGGATGGTGAACGTTAATGGCCTGACAAGGTGTCTAACAGCCCCCTGCAACCCAACATCATCAAGATCTTGGTGGGCTGCGCTTCTCCCCTCTGTGCCTCAGTTTCCCTGCCTACAAGTTGTAGTTAAAGCTCCTGCTTGTGCTGATACCTGATGTCCCCAAGTGCTACGTGACAGCAGGTATTAGTGCAGCACTAGTGGGAGCTTCACACAGAGCAGCAGCTCATGCCTAAATGTCATGCTGTGGCTGAATGCTTTCAAGTGTGGGAACACTTGAGATGACTCTGCACCATCTCCAATCTTTCAAGGGACTTCCTTAGAGCTCATCTGAGCAGGAGAGTCTGCAAGGGGGAGGAGACGTACAGGGAAAGGCAAGGGGGTAATTTTGAGGTTAAAGGATGGGTTATCACTTTTTGCCATGCTATAGAGATCACTGCTGTCTGGCACCGCAAAGGTAACGAGTATTTTGAAGAACAGTCCTTGATCTTCCACCATCCTTTGAGTGCTGGGGGATCCTGAAAGATGTCACCTCTGAATTCTGCCTGGAGAGCTAACAGGGGTCTCCTTACCTGAAGTTGAAGCCCGGTGAAACGTTACTGTCATCATTGTAAAGGCCGTGGAACTGGTAAATGGGTTTGCAGTACCGGACGGGCCAGTCGAGGTCACAGTTCCAGTCTATGGTGATGCCCACCACTCCGCCCTGCAGCCAAGAGGGCAGTCATGAGGTTGCCCCCCCTTGGATCTGATCTGCATGGAGAAATGCTTTCTCTCCTCATAATGTGGCCTTTCTTGTCCTGGCTGTCAAGGCTACATGGACCCCACCTCTGCCTCAGCTTTGTGTCCTATATATCACCCTATGCAGAGGTGCTCACTTCTGCCCTAAATGCTGGATACACAGCTAAATTCATGCCTTCTTGTTCCTGACCAGCACCCTGTGCCCAAGGCATGGTCCTGAGAAACAAGACTTATTTCTTGACCTCCCTTGCCTCATTTTGCCCACAAGATTCACCTTCACCTGTAGCTTAACCCTGCCATCAAACCATTAATGTCATAGGGAAAATCAAAGGTAATTTAACATGGTCATAGAGGAGAGTGAAATGAACCTTTGAAAATCAGAGAAAACTTCCTCTAAGAGAAGTGGCCACTGCTGGGAAATGAACCAGTCCCTCCTGAGCTCGCTCCAGGTTGTAATTAGCTCTTCCCCAGAGGATCATATTTTTTTGCACCTATAGCAAACCTCTGATTTTATTTAATGCCTTGCAAAGGCAGCTCAAGGCTCTGCAGTGCAGAAATAGCAGATACTCTTGCATACCACCCTGAGAAGCGTTGGGCAAAGCTGCATTTCTGGGGTCAGGCTGCAGTTTGTATTCTGCAGTGACCAACCTCCAGCTGAGGTTTGTGAGCTCAATCGGGTGGGATTTGGCCATGCAGCTCATTATTCACTGCACAAATTAAAAGAAACAGAACCCTGGATTTACTGCCAGTGCGTCAAATCTTGTCAGTCTTACAGGGGAGTTTCCAAGAAAGGCTTGAATATTAGGCCATGTCCAAGGAGATTCATAATCTTTAAGAGCTAATTCTGACATTGCCTTGGGAGTCCTTGAGAAAACAGATCCCTCACGTCCCAACGGCCTGGGGATGATTGCTCTGTTGGTGTCCCCCTCCCCACGTCAGCAAGAAACATCGTTTGAAACTGAAGTACCTTAACAGCCAGCATGGTAAAATTCTGTCCCGATTCCTTCACTATGTATCCCAGGTCAAACACAGGGCACAAGGAGTCGGTGACTTTGTGATAGGTGCATTTCTTCAGGTACTGTTTGGTGACGCTCTCAACCAGGTTGCGCCTGTGAATAAAAAGGGAGTGAGAAAGAGTCTGAATAACCAAATAATTTGGGGGGTAAAGGACCTCTGAAGGTCCCTGGTCCAACCTGTTGCTCAAAGCTGGGTCACGTCAAAGATGAGATTCCTCCCCCTCTATGCGCTGATCTCCACATATGGAGAGTGAGCCCTGTCCTCCAGCCCTGCCTGGTTTCTCCCACCCCATCAGCAACTCATTTCCCTAAACCTCCTCCTCTCTGCTGTTTTCTTTCCTGCAAATGTTCTCCACCTCTGCTTTGGGTGTGCTGCTTTGCCTGCTGCCCAAACCCAGCACACGTCTGCCTGTCCTCACCTCTTCTAGCAACCATCTCTCTCATTCAATGCTTATAAATACTTAAGGGGTGGGTGTCAGGAGGATGGGGCCAGTCTTGTTTCAGTGGTGCCCGGGGATAGGACAAGAGGAAATGGGCACAAACTTTAATATGAGAAGGTCCACCTAAACATGAGGAGGAACTTCTTCACTTTGAGGGTGGCAGAGCCCTGGAAGAGGCTGCCCAGGGAGGTGGTGGAATCTCCTTCTCTGGAGACATTAAAAACCCACCTGGACAAGTTCCGGTGCAACCTGCTCTAGGTGGACCTGCTTTGGCAGGGGGTTGGAGGAGATGATCTCTGGAGGTCCCTTACAACCCCATGTGATTCTGTGATTCTTCAGCTTTGCAAACCCTCCCGTGGCCTCCACCATCCCTCCCAGCTACCTCTCCCCTTCGCATGTCAGCTCCTCCATGGGCTCTGCCAGGCAATGCTTTGCATACCAACAGTTTTTATCTGGGACAGCTCATGGATATTGCATCCCACGGCTTTAATGGATATTGCATCCCACGGCTTTTACATTTAACTGGACTTTGCTATGTCCTCCAGAAGGGGTGAAAAGGAAAGGACAATGTCTTGCCTTCCACCCCGCTCTGCTCTTTTGCCTAAAATAGTCTTTCTGTGAAGCCTCCCCGACCCAGATGGTTTTGTAAGAGTTGTGCCTCGTTCAACCCCGTCCCATCGCTTATGCTTGGCAGTTAAATCAGCAGCAGTGATCAAAGGCAGGAAGTTTCCCCATGACCCCAGCCAGCTCCGGCACGGCCCCTGCAACAGCAGCCAGCCTCCCAGACCTCCTCTCCCCCACCATGTCCCCTCGCTCAGGCTGCCACCTCTCCTCCCTGCTGGTGGGGGATCCCCTCGGGGTCACCTCTTGGGGTGCAGCGTGAGGTTGGCTGGAGACTTTGCCAGGGTGTTTAACCTTGGCTACAGCACAGGGACGTGGTCGGCTTAGAGAGAAGCTGCCACCTTCTTCAGCACAAATAGCTTCTGTTAATTTGTTCCAAATCAGATATATAATCAGTGTCACCACAAATCCTCTTACATGTGTGCCTTCACCTGGTGCACTGTTTCCAGCGCTGCCTGGAAGGGACCAACCCTATAACCCGTTGCAGAAACAGCTGGGAACTGTGGTGTTAAGAGGGGTTTCTGCTCATTTTTGGGTACCAAGCTTGCCCTGGTTTCTCACACCCCACTGTGCCATGTAGTATTTTACTGTTATCTTCAGGGAGGAAAAGGGAGAAGAAAAATGAAGAGTCAGAGAAACTGTATTTTCATGTGAATGATGTGAGGGTAACTAAGTGGACATTCATTCTCGAAACCTTCTTTCCTGTAACCACAGCTACCAGCTGAGGTGGGACAGATTTGGGAGGGAAACATCTCATTTCTGCTGCACTGATCACCAGATTAGCTATTAGAGTAGTTCTGGGCTTGCTGACGAGGGACAGCATCCTCTATATCAAGAATCCAGCTATACCTGTGGTCTCCCCTGAGGGACACAGCTGGGGGAACCGAGCAGAAGCCACCCCCCTCAAACCTCCCCTTACCTGGACACCTTGAACCTGGGGAAGGTGATGCTGTTCTTGATGAACATGGTGAACTTCTCCGCTTCTGACAACAGGGCAGGGCTGAAAAAAACCAAGTGTTGACATGTGTCCATCACTCAGCTCTCTGGCCTCTAGGGAAAGCTCCATTTGGTGGAGATTCATCCAAATTGGGACAAGCAGGACCCAGGTGATCTCATCCCTCCCCTTTCAAAGTGAAATGGAGTTCAGAAAAGACCCAAGGAAGTGCTTATTAGGGGAAAGAGAGGGAGCTGGGTGCTGGGATTTCAGTTAAGAAACCCCAAAAGCACAGGGAGGTGGCTGGAAGAGAGCTTAAGGGCCCACATGCTCCACTGGGCTCCTCGGTAGACCCATGGCTGGAGTGGGTCTGGGTGGAAAAGGGGGGGAAACATCATTCTTACCTAGGAACATGGTCATCATCTTCAACGGGGCACCAGCCAAAGATCTCACAGGTCTTCACAGAGCTGTTGAAATGCACACACTTGCCGGTCATGAGCCCTGTAGGGAGGAGAGACAGAGGCTCACACCCCTGGATAGCGGGAAATCCCAGCCTCACACTGGGCTGGATGGGATCTGGTTGGAGCTTCAGCCCTGCCACAGACATCTAAGGCACAAAGTACTCAGGGCTTTGGTGCCCTTTGATGAAAAGGGGAATTAATTGTGGCCTTTTGGCTCGAGGCAGTGGTTTCCCTTCAGCTGGTGGCCCAGAGGAGGTCCTCCTTGCAGGCTCTCCAGCCCTGTGGGCACACTGTGCCCCCTGAGTCTTGCCAGAAACACCTCGGGGACGCGTGCTGTACCTTGTCCTTGGCGGCTGTATTTCCCTTTGCTGCAGTCGCTGTCTCGCGTGCAGGGCCCGGCATCCGGCAGCTGTTTGGAGAGAGGAGACAGCCCCTCTCAGCATCCCACCCTGCACCTTCCATCCCTCCGTCCCTCCTGCCTCACCAGGCAACGTTCTCCTCAGGGGAAAATGCCTCTCGGCTGCAGCCGGGGCCTCGTCCATACACCCCTTCCCAACCAAGGATGTCCAGGTTAAGCAGGAAAAAGGAGGGGAGTTCTTTTTTTGAACCCCAGGCAGATGCTTTTATTTAAGGCTTCAGTCTGCTCTACTTGATCATCTCAAAGGGAAGAAAACTTAAACAGATGCTGGCCTTTTTTTTCCAGCAGAATAAAAGCCTCCACGTAGCACTCGCAAGCCAGGAGCCATAATGGGATGTCAGGCTCAGGCTTTTACTAAACCTCTCAAGGTCAGGAAAACTCCTTCCCAAGTGTCATCACCACAACATCCCCCCTTAAAATACAGAAGCTGGAGCAGCTGAAGGAATCCAGCGTGTTTACCTCCGGGCAGGTTCCTTGTTTCTGTCCAGGGGTGACAATGAAGTTGGTCATCACCACAAACGAGCTGTCCCCCTGTGGAGACACAGCCAACAAGCTCACAGCCAGCACGGTGTTTTCCGATGGAGTCTCTGTGAGGAGAGGCCTCCTCCCTAGGGCAAGGGGCAGGACACCCAAACCACTGGGACATATCCAGGCAGATGGCACCTTTCTCCCTAACTTTGGGTCCTCCACTGTCCTCTGCCGCAGCTCAGGAAGCTGGTGGTGGCCCCTGGGGAGCTGCAGTGCCACCAGCCCCAGAGGCAGTGGAGGACCCTCCTTGCTGCCTGAGCTGCTCATCTGGAGGCCCAGGAGGAGCCTTGACCTTTTTGGAGGCAGCCTCAGAGATCCTCCATCAACCATGGTGGGTCCCAAGCACTAAATGCTCCCCAGGAGTGATATGTGGGCAGAGGTTTGTGGCACGAGCAACCTGCTTTCCACCACAGGGACACCACGTCATGGTTAGCCCATGGAAAGCCTACACCGAGGAGCCCTTTTGCATGCCAAAATGTGGGGAAAAGCGGCCGTTGGGACAAAAGCCTAACCCACCCACCCTGCCTCCTTACCTGGGCTGGGAAAACATAGTCCACCACATCCCAGATGTGAGGGCCCATGACACTCTCGTTGGTCAGCGTCAGGCCTTTCAGCTTCACCGAGACCGAGCTGACGATGCTGTCCTGAGACTGGTAGCCCTTCTCGTAGAGGAAAACCCACCTGGACAGGGAAAGATAGTGGGGTAAGCATGGCCACCAGCACTCACCTGCAGGAGCCCCAAGTCCCAGCACATCACTGTGGACTGAGGCTTCTTCTACCAAGTTTCACCTGGGGGATTATTTGCCAAATTTTTTCCAGCTGGATGAGGTGTAAGTTGCTGGGCTCTCTCACCCTTTGCCCAAGGCAAGCTGTAGGTGCAGGACATGACTTCCATGGTGGGATGATTCATTCTGGGGACTGGGACACATTTTGTGGTTGAGGTGGTGCAGGCAGATGGAGCAGGGTGGCCATCGGCCATGTGGGATTAAAGCTTGCTGGGCTCAGCGACCTGCCTGGATCTGTTTTGTAGGCGCTCTCCAAAAATCAGTGCTTCCAGGGCCAAGATGGGGTAAGAGCCCATGCCCAGGGCCACCATTTCCCATCCAAGAAAGGGAACCACGGAGACGTGGCCCTGGGTGCAAGAGGGCTGTGGGAGCAGTGTTGGGGACACTGCTCTCCCTGCGTTTCCCAGCCCATCGCTCAGCCATTAGGGCCGGCTCCTGACACTATTTAACCTATGGCATAAACAAGCTGCTGCTGGATTAACTCTGACTCAGGGAGACTATAAACATGGGCGAGCAACCATTTCGGGTAGCGCTCCTGGCGGCGCGGAGCCTTCCCGGTGCTAAAAAAGGAGAGATCTGGTTTTTGTCCCTGCTGCTGCGGGCACCGGTCCCGCTGGCCGCGACAGAGGCATGGTGCTCCCCGTGGGACAGCCTGTGACACCCACCCGCTGTGTCGCAGCCCATCCTTGGGCACCCGACCCACGGGCATGGGGGAAAACAGGGGGGAACGCCAGGTGCTGCCCTGAGGTTTGCCCTGTTGGTGCCAGACCTCACGGGGACATCTTGGGGATGGTGCTTTTTGTCTTGTGAAAGCAGGGAAGGGACCTCAAGGGGGTGGCACCTGCCTCAATACCTGGGGATGGGAGGAGAAATTCAGCACTGCAGCTGGGACCACCAGCTCCAACCTCCTCCTCCAAGGTAGAGAGCCATATTGGTTTACACTGGTGACACTGGTTAGCTTCCCTGATGCCCTTGAGGCTGTGCTGGGCAGCACCACGGTGGAGTTTCCCTAAATCTGCCACCAGCGCAGCCCCTGCTGCTGCCACCTCATCCCTCCCTGGCTGAGGTGACTGTGGGCACCCCACTTTGACACAGCCTCCCCACAGCAGGGCAGGACGCTGCCCCAACCCTGCTGTGGTCACAGCAAACAAGGCGTCATTTCCCCATTGGGCTGCAAATGGCCACATTGAGCCCTGTCCAGGTGGTGAAAGTCCCCTGGTGTCACTCCCCGATGTGGCAGAGTCACCAAGCCCTTGTCCCTCGCCAGCCGCATCCTGGGGCTCAGCCCACAGCCTCCTCCCGTGAGAGGTTTTCAGGAAATGAAAGCCAGAAAGTGACGTCCAGCTGAGGAGCTCCTGGCATGGCCTGAGCAGCAGCGATAACACCTTATCTCCGTGTTATCAGCAGAGAGAAGAGCTGCTCCCCACGGGTAACGCTGGGGCTCTCGGCAGGGTCAGCCCCACGTCCCTCCTCGCTGATGACCTGGCACACATCCCTCCAGCGCTGCCAGGCATCCATCCCCACGAGCATCCCACGCCTGCTGCCAAGGGGGACCAAAGCTGGAGTAATGCCCACCTCCTACCCTCACCCCCGAGCTGGTTCTCTTTTTGCTCCCTCCTGACAGCCTGTCCTGTTTTAGCCTGGTTGCTTGAGCCACATTTTCTTACGAAGCTCCACTCTGAGCAACCATCTCTGCTGGTTCCCCATTCTCAGGAGTGGCTGCCCCGGCCAGGTTTGGTGGAGCCCTGGGGCTTCACAGCCTCAGCCCGTCGGAGAGCCAGTGCTGCTCCCAGTAACACCAGTCTGGGCCAGTGCAAAACCCTCTTTGCAGAGGAGTATCCTTGAGACCACGGCTTGGCAGCAGGTTGGGATGAGGATCACCGTTGTGAGGCAAAGCGCTGGGGAGCAGGATGGGAGCAATGCGGGGTCCCACAGTGATCCCTTGGGAAGCTTTTGCCCCTTTCCAGGGAATCTGGGCTAAAAGCTGGGATGGGCACCACTACTCCCCACAGCTACTCACTTGTACCGAGCCCTGGGAGCTACTGCCTCTCCTTTGGGCTGCCCCAGCCACCCTGCACCCCTAAAATACTCATTTTTTTCCCAGTCCGTGGCCAGACACCCCCTCTCCCTGCAAACCTCCATCCCAATGGAAGTGTGCCGGTCTCTCTCTCTCGAGGGCTGAGCTCACAGCAGCCCCAGGGGCACAGCAAAGATTTTTGCACCGTTATCAACCATCACATCCCATCACACGGCACGTCATCCCACGCCGAGGGGACAGGGATGGAATCACAGCAGCAGCCCCAGGGCACCCAAGGACACGCGTCCTGAGCCCGCCTGCTCCCCGAGCTGCCTTTTTTTTTTTTAAAGCAGCTGCTCTTGCACCGGGGCTGCTCTCGGAGCTGCCTCCCACAAGCAAAGCAGGGATTTGGAGCCAGGATCCATCCCGGCCCCAGCCGCCGGGCTGGCTCTGCTTCCCCGGCGGGGCGGCGGACGGGGAGATTTATGGGCCTGTCTCGAGCCGCTCGGGTCTCACAAATCACCGCGCTGGCCCCAGCTGCCTCTTAGTTAATATAAATGAAAATAAAAATAACAACAGATTCTCAGGCCACCGTCCAGCAGCTCAAACGGGGTTTGGATGCGGCTCAGCGAGGAGCCGGGGCCCCGGTGTGCGGAGGGGAGCTGGGCAGGGCTGAGCCTCCAGCAGCTTCTGAGGAGGACACAGGGACAGAGTGGCTGTCTAGAAGACCCATGGTGGGACACTGGGCAGCACGGGAGTGGCCGTGTCCGGGGAATGAGGAGCCATCAGCAATAAACCCCCCCAGCAAATTGGGATATAAGAGATATATGAGCCCCTTCGTCTCCGTTGCTGTTTAACCTGGTGGAAAAACATTAATTTGAGGGAAAGCAGGCGCCGGGGAGCCTTACCCGATGATGTACGCCAGGACGATGAGCTGGATCAGCCGGAAGGTCAGTCCCACCTTCTTGTTCCTCACCAGCACCATCCTGGGGGTGTCATACTCAAAGAGGAAGGAGGACAACTTCTCCATGCACTTCTGCCCCATGGCTGCGCCGGGGCTGTGCCACAGCCTCCCCGTTGCTCGCTGGCCGTGCCGTGGGTCAAGCTGTGCCCGCCTCCGCTCCAGCAACTCCTCTGTTTGCAGAGAGAAGTTTAAAAAAAAAAAAAAAAAAAAAAAGAGATAATAAAAAATGCTATCGGCGTTGCTCTGTGCACATCTGGGCTGTCGGGTTTCTTCCTCTGTGCAGGGAGGACTGGGTTTCCTCTTCCTATAAGCTCTGGGCTGGGAGCAGCTGGTGCCCTACATGGTCCGGGGGTGGGACGGGGTGCGGGAGGGTGCAGGGCCACCCCGTCACCGAGCCCACGTGCCACCAGGATGGAGCCGCCCGCCCGTGGGGGATGCACACTCGCCCGGGCAGGGGCATTCCTTGGGGATGGAGGGGCTGCGGGTGGCACTTGGGGTGAGCAGGGACCCTGGGGGGGAACGTTGGGATGGAGGAGATGGTGGTGGGGGTTGTGTCCTGGGAGAGGATTTGAGGAACTAGGCTTGGGATATCATCTTTCCTCCTCCAACAGGCTGTGGGTCTCCCGTTCCTGTCCCTAACCCACATCCTGCTCTGTCCCCCAAAAGCTGCCCTGGGGAGAAGGGTTGGGAAGGAGGAGGGTGGGGGTACAGAATCCCCCAGCCCAGCAATTGGGAGCCGACCCGAGGGGCAGGCAGGCGCCCGGCTTGGCCCCCTCCCGCCGTGAGGCCGCCCAGCTGGGGTTTGGCTGGTTCCCAGCTCTTGCACGGGGCTGGGCTGGGCGCGTTTTGAAGCATTTTCAGCATTTCCAGCATTTCCTGAAAGGCACGGCCGTCAGCGCGAGCCTGGGTCGCAGCGAGGGATGCTCAGGCCGGGTGGTGCAGGCACTGCTTTAAGTGAAGATCAAGGAGAAAAGGGCTAGATTTGTACGTGCCAGACTGAAATTTGGAGGCTAACATCGTTGCAGTGGGAAACTCTGGTGGGGTTTTTGGCTAATTGATGGAGAAAGTACAGAGGCTGTGGATGGGGGGACCCTGTACCCACATGGCATCCCACCAGGAAACTTCTAGGGCACAGCCCCACGGGGATGAGCTCTTTGTCAAAGAGCACTGGGGCTGAGGAGGGTTGTTTCTGGGGGAAAAAGAGGATGTTTCCCCCCAAAAAAACCCACAGCCTGGCAGGTTCAGGATTCCCCACAAGGACAAGCTCCCCATGGCCACCAAGGCTGGGACAAGGTCCCTCTCTGCAGGGAGAAATGTTTTTGGAAAGATGGAAAAGTTTAACCTGCTGGAATAAATTTCTCCTTTCCGGACCATTTCTTTTAACATCATCACCTTTCATCTTCAATTGCCCATCGCTTGGCATCATGTTGACCTGTCGACTCAATATTTTACAGACCTGACAACCGTGAAATGAGTGGAACAAATCGATTCTCTTTGCTGGGCAATAGGGAAAACGGGAGGAAAAGCAGATGCATCACTTATCCAAATCTTTCTGGGCGAACCTTGGGAATCAAAATCAGATGATCCTACGTTACGAGTGACATGACACCATCCCAACGCCCCAGTCCTCAGCAACATGGAAAGCTGTCAAACGGGGAGCCAAAAGCAAATACAAAATACTGATGCTAATCATATAAGATTGAAGGCTGATACTGCGATTGAGCGGAGCAGACAAACCTTATAAGCTTAGATATCTGTCAGGAGAGAGGCAAATAACTTACTGTATGAAACGAGGCCTTTTAGGGAAGGCTGCTCACCCTTGCCAAAGCCATGGGGATAATGAAAATAGGACAGCTAAATTTAACAGCAAAATGACTTGTAAAAGAGTCACTTCTAACCTCCACTCTGGTACTTGGAGTCAATAAAATGGTTATAGCATGGATTTAGCTAAAATACTTTCCATTGGGAGATAATATGCATCTCCCATTTTAGTATCTCTTGGAGCCCTGTTGCAGCTGGTGAATGAGGCTGGACCCCGTGGATGCGACCAGGATGATGCAGGGAGCGGGGAACGCCAGTGTGGCAGCACCCATGGGGCCTGGGTCTCCTTCTGCCATGTCCAGCAGCACCCAGCATGGGCACCCTCTTGGCCACAACATCTGATTGTTGGAAAAAAATCACAGAATCACAGAATCACAGAATTATCTAGGCTGGAAGAGACCCTCGGGATCATCAAGTCCAACCATCTACCCTACTCTAAAGTTCTCCCCTACACCATATCCCCCAACACCACATCTAAACCGTTCTTAAACACAGCCAGGGATGGTGACTCAACCCCCTCCATGGGCAGCCTGTTCCAATGCCCGACCACTCTCTCTGTGAAGAATTGTTTCCTAATGTCCAGTCTAAACCTACCCTGGCGCAACTTGAAGCCATTACCCCTTGTCCTATCATCTGTAACTTGGGAGAAGAGACCGACTCCCACCTCTCTACACCCTCCTTTCAGGGAGTTGTAGAGAGCAATAAGGTCTCCCCTCAGTCTCCTCTTCCCCAGACTGAACACCCCCAGCTCCCTCAGCCTCTCCTCATAAGACTTACTCTCCAGACCCCTCACAAGCTTCGTTGCCCTTCTCTGGACCCGCTCCAATCGTAGCCTAAAACCTCATGAGCTCACACACCACCATTGCTCACCCATGCCCATGCCATCCCTTGGTTTGCCACTCTTTAAATTACTTTATATACAGGGAATTTAGTAGGTTTGGGGTGGCATCTCTAAGCTACCTGGCCTCACAACAGTGTGCTGTGTGCCCAGCTGCCTGCCGGGGCCGCATCCTGCACACCCCTGTTTGCAGTGATGCTTCTCCTGGTGACAACCTGCAGGAGCTGCTAACACACCTCCCTACCTCTGCCAGGTTGTTATTGTGGGGAAGGGCTCTTCTCGAGCTGTTAAATTGTTAAATTACCTTCCCAGACAGGGCAGTCACCTGCTGGGAGATGCTGAGTTCACAGGGCTGGGATGCTTTCAGCTCTGGCACTGGGCTGTCCCGATGGGAGGTCAAGGTTGGCTTTCTGTTGCGATAGTCTGCGGTGATAATATATTACTGTAAGGCCTAAATGAAAAATAGAAATTAAAAAAAAAAAAGAATGAGTGGAAATGAGGGTTTTGTAAGTCCACTGTGTAAGGTGCAGCCCCAGAGGGGTGCGCGTAACCTGCTGCACAGAACTTATGATCTTGGGGATGTTTTGATCTTGGGTTCCTGCAGACACAGACTTGGATGATGCTGTTGATAGGCTCACAGTCATTTCCTCCAAACAACGCCTGCACCTCTCAGCTGCTTTCAAGCACAGCAGGCGGGAGGCCCCATGGGTGCTCTGCCTGGGGTGGTGAAGGCTGTGGGTGCTGCTGGAGGAGCAGCAGCAGGTCCTGGGCACCGAGTGCTGGGTTTGCCCTGGGCGCAGAAAGTGCTGAGCTGGGCTTGACCCCAGCAGCATGCAAACGTGGGACCAAGTGGCATAGGAGCAGGACAACAGACAGCAGAACCAGGGAGAGAGAAGGAAAATGAGCCCGTCTGGCTCCACTGCCCACAGGAGATGAAAATGAAAGTAGCAAAAGAAGCACTAAAACCCTTGGGTTAGTGTCCGGGGTTGCAAAGCCCCAGGGTCAGACTGCGCAGATGCTCTCCTGGATCATTGCCCAGTCCCCAGCACTGGGATTGACCTCATCCAGCATCTCCTTCAGCTCCAGATGGGTCAGACACTGAAGCCATCGAGGGCTGGTGACCCACTGAGGACATTCCCAGCAGGGCTGTCATGGGCTTAGCACAGGACTCCATCCATGGCTGTGAAAGCAACTCCTTCCCCCTACCCATTAAGCAAACTCAACCTCTGCTTGGGGATGTCAAGAGAAAAATGCAAAAAATGGTATTTTTAAGGGAGACATTTGGAAATGTGAGTGCATCCTTGCTTCGAGCTGGGACACGGGCCTGGAGGGCGGAGAAGCTGCTGGGGCATAAAGAAGGGGGGTCTGAAAGCTACTGCGTGGGGCTTGAGCCCACCCTCAACCAGGAAAGCAAAGTGGTGGGAGGCATAAGAGCTACCAGGTCTTTCCAGGCTCTCAGAAATTGCTTTTCCAAAAACTTCTCGGGGGGAAAAAAAATATAAATAATAGATGAAGCTCATTACACAATCCAGACTCACACTTGGCAGCTTCCAGCATGGAGCTCTGAATTTCAGCACAAAAATGTGCAGCACGCCACAAATCCGTGGATGGGGAGGAATAACACAGTGGCAAGTAGATTTAAAATACGACGGCGGGTGAAAAGGGGACCCGTGGTGGCCAAGGTTGCCAGGAAGAGCCCCTGCGAGTTGGCTCTTCTCAGAAATTTTGGCCAACACGGACCCCTTTGCCCCTACCAGCCAGAGGAGATGCTCACACTGCCCCGCTGGCCATAGGAAGGGTGGGGGTGGTGCGAAAAAAAAAATTGGCAGATGAGAGCAAGCAAGGTCCTACGAAACGGCATGTTCAGCTTTCTTTCCAATTTTAACTTGTCCTTGACCTCTCTTCGCTCCTTCCCAGCAGGGCTGGCTCCGCTCCGTGCCCGTCCCGCGCTGCGACGCCCCGGCGCAGACAGATGTTTTTGGTGGTACTCACCCCTCAGGAGCAGCATTTCCATCCCCGGTTGCTGCGGCAACACGTCTCCCTGGAAATACCTCGGCGGTGGTTCAGCCAACACCAAAGCAAACACAGGAACCCCATGCTGGGGGTACTGGAGGGTGAGCGGCCCTGTGCCCATCGCAGCCACTGGGAGCACGGCCTGCACACCCCATGGGGCAGCTCAACATGTGCCATGGGGTACAGGGACCCTTGGGGGGGGGGTTTTGGGGGGGTAACACCTGTTTTCCAAATCATGCCTTTGAGAGACCTGCATGGGCCCAGCGGTGATGGTCCCCAGTAGAGATGGTCCCCAGTGGTCCAGGGACTGATACAAGAGCAGGTGGGGAATTTGGGTTTTTCTTTGCCTTCACCACTACGTACAGCCTCAGGGGTGGCTGGTACGGGGTCCAGCTTGAGAGTCATCTCCAGCCATGGTGGTGGTGGTGGTCCTCCTGCGCTAACACCGGAGACCAGGTCTGCATTTGGAAAGAGGAGGCCAAGCAACGGCCCCTTCCAAAAAAACCAGTGTTTACCTGGGTGTCCCACATCCTTCTTTTTAACCCCCTTTGGGTCACAAAGGTTTTGGGTTACCCTGTGCAGCACCTTTCTCCTCCTCATAGCATTGGGAAGGTGCACATGGAGCCACATCCCAGCAAAAACACACCATGGGCAGATCCTACCCTAAACCCAGAGTGGCTCCATAACACGACACGCAGCTGCATCAGAATTTTCCGCTCTACACACAACGATGGGCAGAGCTCCGGGTGATGCGGAGATGGAAACACACGGCCCTGTGCCACCCCCAGAGGAAGCCAAGTTATTTAATTATTATTTATTTAATAATTATTTCTTGTGGAGGTCATTGCAGGGCTTATTTAAATCTCCTTTCTCAGCTGGGGGAGATAAGGTGAGGACTATTCTGGATGCAGTCAAAATTAGCACTGTTATTTGTATTCTTGTGCCCCGAGAGCAAATTAGCTGGTACTTTAAAAAATTCCCAACAGTCATATCATGCCACTCCTTTCATTTTGCCTTTGTCGTCCCATGCCAGAGACAAACTCAGCTCCATTTCTAGTTTGGCTGCTCTGAAAACCCACAAGAAATCCTGATCTGGTGAGCACAACTCCTTTTACGGCTGAAGAATGCCCTCAGGCACTCCCATACAGCTCCATGGGCTCCCAAATGTCCCCCAAATCAGCCACAAACAGGGTAAGAAAAGCAAAAAAATTAAATAAATTAATAAAAAAAAAAAACTCCAACCAAAAAAAACCCATAACCCAGAGCCATCCAGTAAAATTGCTTTTATTTCTGTAATTTCATAAGTATAAAACAAATCAGCCCAATATTGCCTCAATAGAGTGGATCGTATGGATGTGACCACGAGGAGCTTTCCCACGTCTTCACGGCACACCTGGCTATTTACAGTCGGACAAAGGACACGATTTAGGAAGCAGTAATTTAGTGGAAAAATATCTCTCATATAATAAAATAGGAAACCTTGTTTCTTTCAGTTCTACCCCTCAGACAACACCCTCCCACCCACCCCGAGATACAATGATCTACCTTTCGCAACGAAGCACAAACTCAAGAGATTTCTAGATTTGGCTGTTCAGGCATCTCTTATAAAAAAATCAGCATATTCCCAGATGGAAGACACTGAGGGCATCTCAGTGCTCACCCTCCTCTTGGTCCCAAGTGCCCGGATTGATCCAGCTAGGACACCAGCTGGTGGTACTGATGTCCCCATTGCTCCAGGTGCACACAGATTTAGGCTCATTTAATGCCCCATTCACACCAAAGCTGAATGGCACCAAGAGGACAGGTCCAGGGAGCACAATGTACCCTGTGTGTCCCCTCCCTCACTGCAGCCCCCCAGACCCTACCCCAAACTGTGCCATGCAAGATCTGCATGGGGTGAAGCCCTTCTCCTTCATCCCCAAATCCTCATCACCAGGCTGTCTCTCTCTGCTGGGGACAAGCCCTGCCAGAAATTGCCACTGAAGAAGTGTGTGGGGGAAAAGTCCAGGAGGGACTGAACAAGGATGACTGAATCTCTGGCATCATTTATACAAGGTGATGGCCACGCCAGGTACAGACCAAAAATCACAGTAAGTCTTAGGAGTGGGTACTGGGGACTCCTGTGCGTTTGAGTTTCGGGAATGATAATGATGCCAAGGTCACTGAACCTCATGAACATCTCCAACAACTGGGACAGCATTAGCCTGTGTCCCTGCACATGAGTTTTGGCAGAGCAGGACCCTGACTGGGAAGCAGCAATATCAACCTGATGTACACAAGAGAGACCAAAAATTGCTGCTGAGTTTTCCTGTTGCTCCTCTGGCTACTTCTGCCACCTGCACCATGAGGAGACTCTGGTTCAACCCCAGATTTGATGCTCTTACAGGACTTAAGTCCTGCAGCCTCTCCAGTAAAGCCTGTCCACCTTGCTCCTGACTTCTCCAGCGCCTGGTGGTACCATCCAGCCTTGGCTGAGCCGAGCATCAGAAACACATGAACATCTTCACAGTGCCAAAAGTCTCAAACATGCAAATCAAAAACCTCATCCAAACCCTGAGCCGCACGGTGGCCACGGGACAGAAATGAAATATAGGATGCAGCACACCTTTGCTCTGCAGAGCATCTCTCTTCTTCCTTTCCCAACGTGCCTCCTGATGGGATCACACGTGGTGGGGGGAAGAGCTCATCCAGCAACTGGACACAATGACAAGACATCCCAGAACAGCACAAAAGACTTTCCACAGCTGCTGTCTGAAGCTGACCCCCTCAGGGCTTGCTCCAGGGATGCAGGACCCTCACCTCCCACCTTGGCAGTAGCCCAGCACGGTGCCTGGCCCCTGAGAAAGGACTATAAAGTGCTCATGGACAACCCCGTGCTGCCATCCCAGCGCATCCTCCACCCTGCACCTCACATCGCTGCATCCCTGCGTGCAGAGGATCTGCCACAGCAGCCCACTGATGCCAAAGGTCTTGCTGGAAAAACCTACGTTTTACTTAAAAAATCTGAATAAACCAGGCAGCACCATCAAAATAGAACAAAAAAAGAAAGTAATTCCTAAACTCTGTTGTCAAAAAAAGCAAGGATCCCAGAGGCTTTGCCCCAAAGCTGCGTTTTTTAACAAGCTCTTGGGCAAAACAGCTACCTGGTGTCCATCTCCCTTGTATTGCACACAGTTGGATGCCTCAGTAAGACATAAGACCTGATCCCAAAGCGATGGTCTTGGCTCTGGGATCTCCAGGTTTGCACAAAAACACACTCCAGCCTGTAAAAGTGCCCAGCACTCTGCTGGCGGCATACAGGCAATAAATAACTACTCTGTGATCTACCCTGACCCTTCACTGAAGTGGAAAGGAAAAAAAAAATTAGACCTACAGATATTTTTCTACTTCATGAAAATATTTGAACTATAAGCCTCTGTAATCAAAAAGCATGGATGGGGTGAAACCTGTATTCCAAGTAATTAAAGGATGCGGGGAAAGAGAGAGACGTGGTCAACTGTTCAAAAGGGGAAACGGGGATGTGTCAAAATGGTCCCTCCTAAACAGGGAGATGCCTGCTCCAGGGAGCCCTAGTGCAGGTTTCCTGCCCTATTTTCTAGGTAGATCCAGAGGCTTACAGTAAAAAAGCAAATGGAATTTCCTGCTGCTGGAAAGAACAAGCCTTTGGCTGGGGGACAGCTCCGGTTTCTTGCCTGTGATGGTTGAGTTTTGGTAACCCCCACTTGCAACCCAGTGGCTGGACAAGCAGAGCAGGGCTTGCAGCAGCGTGGCACCTCCACCAACGATGAAATAACAGCATCTCAGCTTCTCTACAAACAATAAGATAATAAACCCAGCATCTCCTCTAATAGTTGTTCTGTTAGTGAGTTTGGAAGGATGCCTGGTAGAACCACCCCAGCTCTCTGTGTCAGGTGAGACGAAGCAAAAATTACTGCAGGAATTTAAGAGAAAGTTAAAATGTCATTATTTCATCTCTGCTCTGAAATAGAGCTCTTACTTTTTTTTTTTTTTTTTTTTTTTTTTAAAAAAAAAAAAAAAAAAAAAAAAAAAAAAAAAAAAAAAAAAAAAAAAAGTTCTAGGAAAAATATTAAACCC